AAAGTTAGAGTTTTAAATGAACAATTTATTGAATTATTTGATACTGACTTGGTTAGATTGCCTCCACCTATTAATCAATATCTAACACCCCAATGCCCCATGTAATGAAAACTTTTGTTACACACATTCTTAAAATCGTTGACTACTAATAAATTTGACCCTATTAAACCTAACCAACCTTTTGATGTGTATAATAATTTGACTCACAGATTGATCCTAACGCTAAATTAATTGATTCTATTAATGATTGTTACATACTACAAAAAATTTAATTTATATATGAATTTGACCCAGCTGCGGCAGTAACCTATCTATGAAGTTTCCGGGTTCTGGTTTGACTGTTAGGTTACATTTATATATTATCTATAAATAAGGTTAGAATCGGGATGTAAACAGAACATGCGGACGGACAGTACAAAATGGGATATAACCTTCTCCGGGGAAATTTAACCGATGATAATCACGGTGAATTTAGCGAATTTTCCGTCGGAATTTAGGTTACCCTATTCCACCATGGCCAGAGGAAATAGGATAAGCCCACTAGGTATATATAATTCAATTGGGATATAAACAGTGTAAGTTTAATATTAATATAGGGAAATCCGTCACAGTTCATCTGTGGGATATAGAAGAGTTATTACTTTAATTTCGAAAATGGGGTAAATTTACCCAAAAGAAAAACACTGTTTCATGGTTTTATCTTGATGAATCTTGTTTAAAAAATATGGTTTGGATACCCGTTCAATCAATGTATGGTATCCTATTTTTTAATTAATTCAGTTGGAACAATTTTTCAAGCTGTAATATGCTGTAATATGCACATTTAATTGATATGTGTGTCTTTCTTTCTTTTGAAATCATATGAATTGACAATGACGAATGTATGTTCTTCTACTTTATCTATTTTCAGAAACGGCTTGTTCAGTTTGTTCTGTAATTATTAATTATTATCAATTTTTATTTTATTTCTATAAAGAAAAAAAACATTTTACTTGAATTCCTACTTTTTATCAATAATAAAAAGAATAATGTCTATTATATTAGAATTAATTAATATTATATAGAAAACTTATGTTACCTTTATATACTTGTTGTATTTTTCATATCTCTTTATCTTTATCCTTAATTTTAGACTTTTCTTTTGCTCTCTGGACTCTTTTAGTATAATACATATGACGATATCTTTCAAATCCTTCTTGGAATTTTTGTGGAACTTTTTTGAAAAATATAATTTCTCTACAATTTGCATTGAAGTACATGTTATATTGTCGTAAAACTCGATTACACTGAGGAACGAATCTAAAATCAAGAAATTGTATTTGCGTGTTAATCCGAATATATAAAATATATCATTTCATCTAAAAACATACTTTGAAGCTACCCTAACTTTCTCTTCATATAGATTCTTCATAAAAAACATAACCAAAGTTACAGTTGCAATGAAAAGTAGCAGCTTGCTAAAGAATATGAATGTAGGACTCTAATAAAGAAATTCTTTGTTATTAGTATGAAAAATCATAAATATTAAGTAATAGATATTTTATAATGGCTTACATTACTCTTGTATATAAAAGAAGTAAATGCTAATATAGGTAGTGAAAGACACATAAACCCTAAAAATGCTGAAAACCAAACCAAATATTTATTAATTTATTTCAATTAAAAAATACATTGATTGTCACAAAAAATTGAGTTTATTCAATTTAAATACCTTCATATTTAATACTTCGTTTTTGTAAATGCCTTAAATTTTGTTTTAATCTCTCCTCAAAAATCAAAAGATCTTTGTATTTTTGATGAAGGCTTGGTCCAGATGATTTAGTCATTTGTGTTGGAATTTTAAAAGGGGAAGTATTTACATTTAATTCAGAATTGCTATTTTGTGCATTAGTTGTTGATGTAATCGGCGAATCTGATGGCGATGAAGAGGACGAAGGATTTATTGCTGAGGAACTACGTGATCTGGTTGTCATTTTGGACATTAAAAAAAAATTTTTTTTAATTAGAAAATAAATAAATTTTATAATAGAAAATAAAAAATTTTAATTTGGAATTTCGATTTTATTTCATCCATTCGAAGTTACACGAATTATGTTTTATTTCAAAGAACAGATTATCTGACAAAAATAAAAATCTAAAATTTTGATTGATGTAATACATTATATAATTTATTCTTTTTATTGAAGATTAGATATCTTTTTAAAAAAAGGTTTTCCCTTTCATTTTTTTAATTAATTTAATTAATTAATTAACTAATTTAGTTTAAATCATTCGCTTTCAACAAATGTCATTAAAATTATCTTTATCACGTACTCTTGTTAGAAAAAGTGTTTTTAGACCAAGACAACAACAACAAGTAACTTCTCTCTTTTTTTATCTTGAATAAAAAAATTTAATATTTTTTAAACTTCTGATTTTCTGATTTTTTAATTTTTTAGTACATTACCAAAATGGTTAATAGAAATTTCTCGAACACAAATTCAATTTCCAATACATCGTCATATCCTGTAGATAATTCCGTCGGTCCTATGCTTCGTTATGAAAAATCACTTCCTAGACTTCCTGTACCTAAATTATCTGACACTCTTGATAAATATCTTAAATCTGTTAGACCTCTTGTTAACGATGAAGAGTTTGCTAAAACTCAAGCTGCTATCGAAGATTTTAAAAAACCTGGTGGTATAGGAGAAGAATTGCAAAAACGTTTGTTGACAAAGGCTAATGATCCTAATGTTATCAATTGGTTGGAAGATTGGTGGAATGAAATTGCTTATTTCGGTTATCGTGATCCAGTAGTTGTATATGTGAGCTATTTTTTTTCATATAAAGATGATAAACTCAGAAAAAACCCAGCCACTCGAGCTTCTTGGATTGCAAAGTCTGCTTTGGAGTTCAAAAGACTTGTTGTAACGTAAGAAAGACATTAGAAAAGTACTTTTTTTTTTTTTAATAAAATTGTTTTTTAATATCTATTTTTTGAAGACAACAATTAGAACCAGATTATGCAAAAACTACTCCTCTTTCTATGGATTCATTTAAATGGATGTTTAATGCTTGTCGATATCCTGCCAAACCATCCGACTATGAATTAACATTTGATCCGACAACTAATAACCATATGGTTGTCATTCGAAAGAATAAATTTTTCATTGTAGATTTAGTTCATAACGGTAAAGAATTATCTATTGCTGAAATTGAAAGGTCAGAACTATTTATATATAATTATTGCTATAATTATTGTAATTGTCATTATTGTTAACATTTTATTGTTATTATTAGTCAATTAAACAAGATTTATTCTTTAGCCGGTGTTACAAAGGACCCTGCAATTGGTTCATTAACTACAGAAAATCGAGATGTTTGGACAGATGTATGTATAAAACTTTGAAATTATCTGTTATATGTATGTATATAGTAGAAAAATAATGATTCATTTAAATTACTTTTGAAATTCTAGTTTCGTAATTTGTTATTAAAAGCTAACCCAAAACATGAAGAAATGTTAAAAAAGATCGAGAGCTCAGCATTTGTACTTTGTTTGGATGATACAAAGCCAGTTACATTAGAAGAAATTTCTCATTCTTGTTGGGTTGGTGATGGCCGTAATAGATTTTTCGATAAATCTTTACAATTCATTATTTTTGATAATGGAAGAGCTGGTTTTAATGGAGAGGTTAGTTTGTTGTTACTATTAAAAGTTTATTTGATCCGTTTTTTTATAATACTTTATTAACAGCAATAACAATTAAAAATATTATTTAGCATTCTTCTATGGATGGGATGCCAACAAGTAGATTGAATGATTTCGTTTGTGATGTTATAGCTAAAAACAAACTAGATGCAGGTCCATCAACGATTAGATCAGATCTTCCAATACCTGAACAACTTCATTTCACATTTAACAATCAGATTCTTGATGCTATTCAAAAAGCAGAAAAGGATTTTGATGAACTTGTTGCCAAACATGATTTACGTGTTTGGTCGTATGATGGTTACGGTAAAAATACAATTAAAAGTTTTGGTTTTTCACCTGATGCTTACATGCAGATGATTCTTCAATTGGCATATTACAAAATGTATGGAATTAATAGGGCAACATATGAAAGTGCTCAAACTAGGAAATATGCTCATGGAAGAACTGAAGTATGTAGATCTGTTTCAATTGATTCTGTTAATTGGGTCAAAGCTATGGAAGATCCAACACTCCCGGTAAGTAATCAAATAAAATTCTAATTCACAATATATAAACTGTCAAATATAAATATAAATATATATATATGTAATATTTAAAAAGGTTGAGGTTAAAGCCAATTTAGGTAAAAAAGCAATCGGATCACATGTAAAATATATGTCTGACGCTGTAAATGGATATGGTTGTGACCGACATTTATTGGGTAAGAATAAATATAAGGATTATTAATATAAATGATAACATGCACATAAATATTTATTTAAAAAATATATACAATAAAGGACTTCGAATGTCGTTAAAAGATGGTGAATCAAAACCTTCAATATTCAGCGATCCTGCATATAGCAGATCTTCTCATTGGAACCTTTCAACTAGTCAATTGTCCAGTAACCATTTTATTGGTTATGGATGGGGAGGTACCGTATTATCTAATTGATGATCATTATTTGATATCATTGATATTTTTTTAATAAATATAATTAAAAGATTTTTAATTTTTTATAGAGGTTGTTCCGGATGGTTATGGATTTGCGTGAGTATTGCTATTATGTTTAAGGATTATAAAATTTTATTTTTCTATTAAAAAAATTCAAATTTATTAAAAATATAAATTTTTTTTTAGTTACATGATCAAAGATAATAGTCTTCATGTAAATATAGTTTCTATGCATTTAAATAATGAACGCATGCATTATTATATTACAGAAGCCGCAAATGAAATGCGTGAAGTGTTTGAATTGTCACAAGTCAAACAAGGTCAACTTAAATCTAAATTATAATAAAATAAATTATTTTTTTTTACAATTATAATTTATAAATGTATGTTATAACGAAGCTTGTTTATTTATATTTATTTATTTATTTATTAATTTATTAATTTTTGTATTATTAAATAAAGATTTGATTATTTCTTTCCATTTAGAATCAATAATGTTCAATTTTATTCAATTAAAAAAATATTTTTTCCTACATCAATGAATATTTTTCCATCCTGATAATTCAAATCAAGTTTTGTAATATGTAAATTTGAATTAAAAAAGTTTATGGATTGTAGTTTATTAAAAAAATAACAATAAATATGATAATACACTAAACTATTATCTTCCTTCCCATTATCCATTTCAATAGTTAATAATCCAATTATTAATTCATCAGCGTCTCTATATACATATATATATATATTACTTAACATTATATACACTAAATGTGTAAAACTATTTTTATACAAAAGTTTTTTAATATATGCTACAATAAAAAAAAAGAAAAAGTTTTAATCATATTACAAAAAAAAATCAAATAAATAAACAAAAAGCTGTATTTATATATCTTATATGAAGGAGAAAAAAGTAAATTGTTATTTTCTATTTAAGATTTGAAAATACTTCATGTGCCATATTACAATGTTTTTTATTAATATCAAGATCTATTACGTAACAAACAAATGCAGAGTCCACCCTATAAAAAAAATAACAACAAAAATAAATTTTTAGAAAAAATGATTTTGAAATAATTTCTTTCAAAAAAATTTATTTATACGTACGTGTTCATCATTATATGTGTGTAAAATCTTGAAATATAAAAGGTGATTAATGTTGATAAAATCCCGGGAACATATCCATATGAAGATTGCAATATGTGTGTAGCATATATAAAAGTGCCAAATCCAAAAATAAGAGTGATAATTAAAGAATTGATGAATAGAATATATTTTGTAAAAGTTAATGTCAACACTAAAATATAATATAGATTATTATATTAATTAACGAATTAATGATTAATTAATTAAAAATCAAGTAGTCGATCAATTTAATAGTTCAAATATTACCATCAACCGATCTATTTTCATCTAAAAAACTCTTTTTAAATAATTCAGTAGCTGCTCTTGATGATTTTAAAAAATCTTCTCCGGAAATACCAACATAAATCATTACATAATTATTGAAAATATCTAGGATTGCGCTTATGAATTCCAGAAAAATTGTAAAATAATAGAAACATCCATGTCGTTTGAGATACTAATTAATATATAATAAATATTAATTTAGTAATTTTTTTTTAAAAAAAAATTTTGATAATATTGGTTAAAACACAAACTTTGTTACACATTTTAACAATCGCTTGGAGAGTGTAAACTATAGAAAGAATAAAACTTCCAAAACACAGTGTACCAAATGAAATTGTAGTTGTTTTGGTTAAAGCTAAAGAAGTAATATCTTGAATGTTGTCACGATCTGGATCATTTCTATTTTAGGTGTATATATTAACAATTATATATACATATATGTCAATGTACGTTAAAATAATGGAAGTCTTCTACAAAGATTCATAATAACGTTTTATTACCTATGAAAATACCAATCTGAAACAACACTAGATATTGTTACTCTTTTTTTTTAATTAAGAATAAAGAATATTTTTAGAAAAATATAAATTAATAAATAATTTATTCATAATAAAAATTTCTCTATACCTTTGAACATTTGTCAAAATTGATGTTGTCCAAAAATACATCAAGATATAAAAAATCATTAATAAAGGTGCATTAGAATCAAAGATCCAAATATTATCTAGAATTAAAAAATTTGATATAGTATATATCTTATTAGATAAAAAATTTAATGAATTAAACCCTTTTTTTCTTTATCAGTCAATCAATCAATCAATCAAATTCTAACCTGTTAAACCTTGAGTAATATGAACAAGAAGAAAAACTCTACTAAAGAATAATAGCCAGACTAAAGTGAATATAGTATAAAAAAACAAAATCGTATAAGAAACATAAAGCATCCGTATATTGTCTTGTAAAATTCTGCATGCCAACTAAATGAATAATTTTTGAATTAGTTAAATAAAACTCGATTATGAAAATAAAATCAAAAATTAATAATATATTTATATTTAATTTAAAAAAAAAAAAATAATAACCTTAATTATTAAAATTGCCTTTTCAATTCTTCTCTTGAGAATGTACAAGAAATAGAAACAAGTCAAAGAAGAAATAAGTACAGAAAATGATAAGAATGCAAGCCTTTTTTTTTAAAAAAAATAATTAATGAATATAATCATGTAATTAGTATTAGTTTTTTTTTGTTGGGAAATACACATTAATATATTTAAAAATAATTCGTATAAATTACAAATCATCTTGAGGATCAGGTATTCCTGAGTCACGTAGTGCGCCTGTAAAAGCCTCTGTTATTGTCCATATAAATATTAATATTCCAACAAATGGCACTACTTTTACAGTTACCCACACAAAAACCTAAAAAAAATTAATTGGGCAATGATTATTGGAATTTTTTAATTTTAAAGCAATTAATGAAATTTCACAACATACATGTGCAAAAGAATGAAGTAAATATGTCCAAAGAAAAACCATAGATAAAGAAAATACAATTGAAATAAAGAAAAGCCCTAGAATACGTATATAAACATATTTGGTAAGACAAACAAATTGATATATTAAATAAATTAAGAATTATAATATAAAAAAAATTAAAAAAATTTCTCACCAGTACTATCACGGATGGTAAAGAATATTGAATTTTGTGCATATTTTTTTAATGGAGTTGGCTAATTTTTAAAATAGAATATATGCGTGTAAATATAAATAGATCAAAAAAAAATTTGAAAAAGATTTTTTTATAACTTACACTAGTAGTAAATAGTAAAATTAAACCCGAAATCATCATAATTATAAATAATAAAATAAACAAAATTGCCCATACTGGATCTTTATACTTTCTATGTGAAATATTAGTCGATAAAGGAGGGGGTATCTTTATAATAAAAAGAAAGTAGATTCAAAAAGTAATTTTTCAATTAAATTAACACTGTTTTAAACATAATAACGATTAATGACAAAATAGAATAAAATACATACCAAGCAAGAAGTTAGCAAATTTTCTGAAAGCGGATTATCATTAGGAGATATTATTATTGAAGTTGAAGTTAAGGGAGGAACGTCTTTGTAAATTGAGGCTGCCTCAGTCTAATATATTCATATATACACATAAAACATCTGTTTATTTATTTATAATTATATAAGTTAACAAAATTTATGATTAAATTTAACTAACAGGCTGTTCCTCTTGAAAAATATCAATGGGCCTTCCTGACAAAAATGAAGAAGCAGGTTCTGAAGATTGATATTCCTCGTCATTTTCATAATTATTATAGTGTGTCGAAGTTTCCAATGCTATTGACTGGTGGTTAGCTTCAGATTGAATAGGAAAGGTTGGTACAGAGAAAAATAAGGAGGAACCATTTTGACCACTACTAGTAAGTTGTGAATATTCTATATTATTGGTGGCAGAATCTCTTCTACCATCAGTAAAAATGTTTTTGGAAAGTTGTGAAAACATTTAAGATCAAGAGTGAGAATAATGCGAGAATAATAATAATGTGAGAGTAAGAAGAATATCGAAATAGTTTAAAAGGTTATTTTGCATCATTCAACATTACATAACTCCGAAATTTACATTTTTTACATTTTCGGTATAGATTTTCATGGTTGCAACAAAAATGGTTCGCGTACATAAACCGTATAACGGTGGAATATTGTTACACTAAATATTTAATTAGTACATTTTCGAAATTTGAATGTTCTTTAATATTAAGCAAACGGCTAGTCGAAGTGAATATAACCAATATCTATGGAAATGTGATGGATGACCTTACAAAATCACAACCCAAAATGAAAATTCAAATACTATTAGCGATAAAGTTCAAAATTGATGATGAAATTGTTGTTGAAAATGATCCGTAAATCCAATCTTGAAAAAAGAAAAAAGGCATTCGCTCATTTCGCCAATTATATTGTTGGTATTAGTATTAGTGCAATAATTTAATAATTTATAACGCGTTATTTTCGTGACAATCATGGGTCACTACTTAGAATTTTGAGCCCTGGAATTTTTTTTGCGACAAATTTATTTGTTTATTTTTGATCGCGTAGAATTAAATATTTTATAATAATTTTTTCTCACTTATTTTTTTTCTTTAAACAAATTTTATTTCAACGTTATATATATATTTACAAAATGTCGAGTCTAAATACTGAAAAAGAAAATACGTCTATTGATCACTTTGATGATAAAGAAAATATCAAATATCCTATTAATAATAATAGTAGTAGTAGCACTCGCTTTAAAACCATTAAGTTCGACAAATTATCATCAAAAGTTGATGAAAAACAGCAACAACAGCCGCAATTACTACAGCAATTATGTCCAAATAAATATATCCTTCCAAAAAACATTATGGCTTTGAATAATAGTAATATTCAAAGTAATATTTCCCAGCCTACCCAATCTACTTCAAAATTTGCACATTCTAGTGTTAATGGCAGTAATGGTAAGCGTCTTTACTCACCTATAAAAGTTGTTATTATTAAAAATGATTTTTCAACATAAATATTTATATAAATATCTACATATTCAATAAGTTGGAATGAGTTCTGTCAGGCAACCATTAAGAGTTTTGCACGTTAATGATAATAATCAAGGAAATAATAGTTTGATTAACAATAATCCAAGTTTGATTAATAATAATACAAGTTTGATTAATTATGCAAATATTATCAATGCCAATAAACAACAACAGCCTCTTCATAATATAAAGAATTTTAAAAATCATACTGAAGCTGAAGTTGTAAATGTCGTAATAGAAAGGATAATCTCTAACGATGGTGATAAAATTTCTCAAGTGGTAAATTTCTCAAATTTCAATACATTTGAATTATTACATTATTATATTTTTTTAAATTTTCTGTTTTAATTAGGTCATCAATAATGATGATGATGATGACCACGATGACAAGTTACATGATGTTGATTTTAATATTCCTCAATTTAGTGATGATAAAGAATCAGAGTTCGAGATTGGTTATTCCAAATATAATAATGATACTTCTTCGAGTGTTGATAACACTCCAAATAAACTGGAAAAATTTCCAACCAGATATATTAAAGTATATATTCATTATTTTAATTACTATGATAAATTATTTTATTAAATATATTTTTGTTTGGTTGTTTGTTTATAGAGAAAATTATCAGATGTAGATGAAAATGAAATACAAGCTAACAATAGCGAGCTTTTTGTCCGTGATCCAACTATTAAACCGCCATATACCTATGCTTCAATGATTGGACAAGCAATTCTAACTTCTGAAAAACAAATGATGACACTAAGTGAAATTTGCAATTGGATCACAAAAGTTTATCCATATTATAGAAAGGAGCAGAAAGGATGGCAGGTAATTAATATTGATTATTTTTACAATTGAAATATTATTTATATGTGTGTGTGTGCCTGTGTATAAAAATCTTATGTTATTATTATTATATCGCAGAATTCAATTCGTCACAATCTTTCTTTATATGATGTATTTGAAAAAGAAACCAACGAAAAAATTACAAAAAAAGGTGGTTATTGGAAAATACCAGAGCAATATCGTGATTGCTTTGTTAATGGAAATTATGTGCATGAAAAGATGCCAACCTCTCGTAAAAGGATAAAGAAAGTAGAGAAAGAATTAGCCGAACAAAGAGAAAATGCAATCAATAATATCACTAGTATCACTTCAGTTGAACATACTAAACAAAGAGCAACACGATTTTTAACACCACCACCATCATCTTCATCATCAGATCAAGTTCAAGCTGATGATAACAATTATGAATTAGGATTTGATAATTATCATTATAACAATGATTCAGATAATAGCACTGAAGATCTTGAAACAAATAATTGGAAATATTATATTAGACTTATCGCAGATTTACCAGACATAGATCATAGTCTGATGACACCTCAAAAGGAAGTTGTAGTTCCTTTCAGGGAAGACCTTATTAAAGAAGATACTGGGATATATGTGAACATGCGTGATGTTGAATATGCTTCTTATTATTAATTTCTTAGATATGTAAAGTTTTTTTTTTCTTTATCATGTTTTTCTTTTAAGGAAGCCGTTGGTTTCAATTAATAATAAAAAAATAATAATCATTGCTTAATTTTATTTCGAAAATATGAATGTTATTTGAATTTTTTAATGTAATATAACCAAATAACAAGTAAATTAAAAAACTATTTAATGTTCCAATATATATATATATATAGCAGTTTTTCTTTTAAGGAAGCTGTTGGTTTCAATTAATAATAAAAATAATAATTCATTGATTAATTTTATCTTGAAAATATGAATGTTATTTGAATTTTTTAATGTAATAATAACCAAATAACAAGTAAATTAAAAAACTATTTAACTTTCCAATATATATATATATATATATATAGCAATTTGATTATTGAATAGTAAACAGATTTTGTGGTAATTCATCTTTGTTAACGAACACTTTGGCTGTCCTAGTGTATATTGGTGACTTGGCGTATGTTGGTAAAGTAGGAATAACAAAGTTGTATCCTTTTTCTTTAGTTCTAAAAAATTCATATGAAAAAGCTTCCAAAGGTGATGGTGATGTTGGCGGTGGTGGTAAAAGCGTTCGATCATTTTTCGTTAGTCTTATAAGAATATCTTTCACTTCTTCACATTCACGCTCTTTAGATCGCTCTTTATAAATTGCCAAAACAGCTTGAGCAGCAGCTTCACCTTTAGCCCACTTTCTAGTTTCATTTTCAGAAGACCATTCACCTCCAAGGTAAAAAAGATTACATTTCCATGTCTTTTTTTCTTTATCAAAGTTGAAATGATATTTTGGTGGTTCATCTGCCCTAAGTTTTGCTTGAAGATAATCCAAGAATAAGACTGGGCTGGCTCTTATAAAAAGTGATTCATTTACTGGTTCAATTATAGGCTTCTCTTCTTTTTCCACTTTTTCTTTAGGAGGATATGTATATGAAGGTAATTTTTTTTGTTTTCCAGGTTTTCTTGATTTTCTTTTAGGCATTTTTCAAATTTCAAATTTCAAATTTCAAGAGAATAGTGTTTAAAAAATTTTTTTTTATTTTGGAATTTGTTTAAATATAGAAAAAGATCATCGTCGCGTCATAAAAAATATACAAAAAATGATTGAATGAATAAATAGATTAAATGTATATATAATAGATATATAATGTCCGTGACACAAGAAAACAAACAAATAATAATTTATTTTCAAGTTAAGCCAAAAACTTGACAATGTTTTCAACCACATAATTCATATTTGGCCTCTAATAAAATATAGAAATATTATTAGAAGGTAAAAATTAATTAATCTATCTGTCCGTCTGTATATTTGTCTGTCTGTACCTTTTTAGGATCCGATTGCCACATTTCTTCAACTAAACCAATAAGAGCTTGCGGATAATTCTTCAAAGTATCGGTTTGCGGACGAACGCCTTTATCTCGAACTATTTATTTTCAAGAATAGTACAGGGTAGCAGTAAATTCATTTAATAACTGTGCAAGATAAAAAGTATTATTTTGTAATGAAATTGATGGTTAATAATCACCAGATTCATATAATTGATGCTCGGTATATCCTTGATAAGGGTAGCCCAATTCGGCCCAAGTCATTATCTCCCAAAAAATTAAAGCACTAGCATATACGTCTACCTTCTCGGTATAACTTGGATTTGGTGTCCAAAATTCAGGAGCTAAAGGTTTGATGATTGGTTAATAATGATTTGCTCCATCAATTATTATTATCGATCGGGTATTATTATAATTACCTTGCCAATTTGGAGTGCCACATTGGGTATGCATGCTCGCATTTGCTCTAGGACGAATACGTGCTAATCCAAAATCATTTATTTTTGCACGTAAATCACTCGAAATCTATCAAAAAGTAAAGGTTTTATTATTTTTCTAAAAAAATAGAATTATTTGTCTGTTTGACTGTTTGATTTTACCAGAATATTCATTGATTTTATATCCTGTTAAAAAAAAATTTTTCTTGTTAATTTTTTGAAAAAATTAATCAAAATTATCATCATCATCATCATCACCATCATCATTATTCACTTAACTCTATGAATTATGCTTGGCCTTCTTGAATGTAAATATGCTACACCAAATGCAATATCATGCATAAAATTGATCTATTATAATTTGGATTAGTTAATTGGTATCAATTCTATGGATATCATTATCCTCGTTATTATAATCATAATTAAATTTACCTGTTGAGTGAATGTTGGTTTTGAGAATTTTCTCATGTAATCGTATAAATCACCATTTTCACATAATTCAGTTATAATACATAGATGTTTTGAATTGATACAAACTCCAATAAACCTAATAATATTTTCATGTCTTAATTGTCTAAAAAAATAATAATTATAGTAGTAGTAATAATAGTGGTAGTAATTATGGTATTAGAACAATAAATGAAAAAAATAATATAATTATAATGACAGCGATAAGAATACAATTAATTACTTTAGAACATTTATTTCATGCCTCATCTCTTTAAAATCCGTTTCGCTAAAATTTGAAACACGCAGTTCTCCAATAGCTACAGGCGACTAATCAAAATGATAACAATTAAATCAAATTATATAACATACATAACATATATAGAATGTAAATAATTACTCCTTTAAGTTTTCCTGCATAACAATCTTTAAATCCTCCAGATCCTAACTTTCTTCCAATCACAAGTTCGTCATAATTAATTGATTCTATTCCATCATCTCCGTCGCCTTTTATAAGCAATGATGATATATAAACCGAATTTATATTATTTTGTCTGTTAGAATTTTGATCTTCACTGGAAAAAAGCCTTGGTGTTGAGGGCGCTGGCACGGGTCTTGTATTTGACTTCTTTATTTTAAACAAAAATTTTATTTTAGAATTAAATGAATTAAATGAATTAAATGGAAATACATGGTTATTAATATAATTTACCCAATCCAATAGCTGTTTTATCAATATAGCTTTATCTCCTTCAGCCGGTAAACCCCTTTCTTGACATAATGCAATTAAATCCGCCCATGTTTTCTCATTCAATGTATTATAATTTTCTTTTTCTAAAGCCTCATCTAATAATCATCATTTGCAATTATTTAAAATAATAATATAATGAATCATTAATCAATTAATCAACTACCGACTATTTTATTTGTTTACCTGTGTGATGGTCAAGGGTTTGAAAAGGTGGCATAATTATCATAATTTTTCAAAATGATTAAAAAAAATACTTTTTTAAAAATAGGTTTGAATTAATATATTAATATTGTTATATTCAAAAAGTATACAATGATGTAATAATGTTGTAATAATGGTTAACTAATAAATAATAGTCCATTTTTTTAAATGAAAAGATGTGCAACATAAAAATTTTTTGTGCAAATATGGCAACAAAAAAGACAAAGTGAACATTGGTATTACCAAAAATTTCAGGGATTGTCTAACATCATAATTGTTGTATGATCGATCAATATTTGCTTTTTTGCTTAGGATCTCTAGACAAAAATAATTAATATGAACTCATTTACCAAAAAATTATAGTATTTTAAAAAAGGGACAAGGTGAAAAAATTGCTCCTCATATCTTCAAAATAAACGATACTTAAGCTTATCTAAGGAAAGAAAGGGTTATCTATGAAATTTACCAAGAAAGAAAAATAATAAACATTAAAGAAAAGAATACAAAATGAAAGTGTGCTATTGCCCAACAAAAAGCAAAAATCCTGGAAAAAAACAATCTTATTACAATATTGATATATTTATTTTTTTAGTCCTTTTAACAATATAAATCATAGCAATTATAAAACCTAAAATTAAAGTTATTCCTGCTAATCCAAAGCCGAAAAATAATAATAAATATACAGTACAACAATATATTAATATATATAGTATTTTTGTGTCGATCACCAAAAAAGTTGTTGTATGCGTATGCTTGGGATTTTTTTTTTGTTTTTAAAAACATTTTACATAACATCAAGTATATCTTTTCGTCATTTCCAAAGAAAATGTCGAACAACTTTTTTGAATCACCTGCAGAAAATTGGACGATTGAAAATATTGCAGCCCACTACTGCTTTGAAGACAATGCTCGTATTTTCGATTGTATTAAAAAAGATATTAAGTCACGTTCTAACATGAAAGACGATGCTGCACTGTTGGCAAATCAGCTTTTAACATCAAAATGGAAGGTATGCTTCCGGTAATTATTGCCATTAATAGTGACTGAAGAAACCTAGATCTAGCTGGGAAACTGCTTGTCGCCCGGTGATGACTGCTCGTCGATATCCTTTTGGTAGCTAGCGGGGAAACTGCTCGTCTCCCGGTGATGACTGCTTGTCGCTGCCGACTTTCTTCAAAAATACAATAGAAAATATTTTTGTGCATATTTCTGCCAAATAGTTGATTATTGCTTTTTTTGACTACGAGAAATTCGTCGAAGGTGTGAAAACTTGTTTAACTGTTGACACAATTAGGGCGAGCTTAAGGATTTCTCCTGTTGCTAATCTTTCCAACAAGAACTCATTCCTCCTGTTATACAATATGCAGAGAGAAGCTACTATTTCTACTTACGCGGATGGAGCAAAATCAATGGCAAAAATTCACACGGGAAATTCTTAATAGCATTGACTCTGTGTCATCCTTTAGGTAGCCCCTTGATTTGTGAAAGGATGACGTAAGTATATAGTTTCATATGCACGCTATTTGAACTTTTTTTTCGCAACAATGGGCTTATCTAATTATTATTTTGTAGACTAATCCGAGAAAATGCGCAAAAGACCAACTTGATTCCGAAGGCATCAAAAAAGTCAGTATGAAAGCATAAATGTTATTATCACACAAAGATGTCTTCTCACCTTTTTATATTACACAGATTAAAGTCCAACAACATCTGCAACTGGTAATGACGAATCGCGAGATAATATACATGATATAAACGAAAGTATGAAGAGTGATGTAGAAATAGATTTAGAAAATGTGATCGTTGATGCTGAGTAAACAACCAGCGAAGAATCCGAATCATTCGTCGAATAAACTACTACAGAAAAAGCGGAAAAGGTAGATAGTTTTTTTCAAATAATCGACTACAACTAGGCAAGTTCGTGAAAGTTAATCAATTAATGTTTATGCAGTCAAAGATGATACTGTCGTGGGAACACGTTGTTGATAAGATAAAAATTTCTATTAATTCAGATCATAATAGATGTGTCCTCAGAAATTAAAATCTGATTAGATTAAGATTTGATTCGATTTGATTAAGATTAATAAATAAAAATTAAATACTTGAAAATCTTTGAAATGGAAAATGATAGATATAAATTTATTTTGTAACTATTTCAAATATTTGGATATTCATAATAATTATTTCAGATATTCATAGATACTTGTGTTTATTTTGAATATTCATAATCATTTGAAATCTGAAATTTTAGATTTACAAATATTCAATAAGAACAGGACCCCGCAAACTTCATAGTAATAGATAGGTTATTGCCGCAGCTGGGTCAAATTCATAAATAAATTAAATTTTTTTGTCAGCAACAATCATTAATATGGTCAATTAATTTAGTGTTAGGGTTCTCTGTGGATCAAATTATTAGGGTTCCTAATAGTGTTGGTTGGCAAAACTATTTTGAAGAGGCGAAAGTCAAAAGTAAAATTAAAAGTTATATGTCAAAAGTCAATAGTCAAAATCAAAACTAGTTTCGACTTATGGCGAAACCTTTTGACTTTCGCACGGTTGCGAAACTATTTAATTTTGGAACCAACACTAGTTCCTAACCGTAATTCTAACTCCGTATTCGAATATTCGTAAAATCCAAAATTACGAATTTCGAATATTATTTCGGATACTCGTAATTAGATATTTGTATAAATTCTGACAAATTATTATTGATTTTTTCTTGTTCTTTAAAGTTTATTTTTGGATATCATCAATTTGATTGTTCATTTCAAGCTATATCAAAAAATTATTAATAAATTATATCATCATACAAATCAAAAAAATTTTCTATCAGGTGTAAGAATATTATGAAATTTTAAAAATGATTTATACAATTGAAGTATTAGGAAAAAATTTTCTGCAAATTCCATTTGGGTATTGAAAGAATTACTTTTTAAATGAAAATGTTTTCTGAACAAATATTTTAATTGTTGTAAAAATATATGTTATCTTTATGTTATCTTTGAAAAATGTTTTTTATATAGTAGGATAAGTTACAAATAAGTTAGTACTATTTGTTATCAATAGATAATCATTACAATATTATCATAATAATAACAAATGTTTGACATGATTGTATTCAAAATAATACAAGTATCCAATACCAAAAATAATTACGAGTATCCGAAATAATTAAACTTATATATTAATATTCAAATATCCTTGAATAAATTGATTTTCGAATATTTGTAAAAAATTCGATTTTCGGTTAGGAACACTATTAGTATTAGTATTAGTATTAGTATTAGGGAGCCAAAAAATTCGTGTAACAACTTTTTAATATCGTGAATTCACGTGCGTGAAATTCAAATTAGCCAATCAAAATTTCGTATTCAAACACTCGCCCAAAATTCAATCAATATTATTAATTGACGCAAATTTGATTTTCACGCACAACAATATTAAAATCAGTGAATTATTATAATCAATTGATCAGTTAAACCAATTGATTGGTAAAATTAATTTCATTACAATAGACAGTTTCAAAATTTTTAATGTTAGTATATATTACGGGTCAAATTATGTTATTTTTTCTAATGTTATTGCAAATCTTAGGGTCAAGTTATATATTAAACTTAATTTTGGTCTGGGTCAAACCGTATAACAAATAGGAATTTTTGTTAGTGACTTATCTATGAAGTTTGTGAGATCCTATAAGAACCCTATTCTGCAAAAAAAAACATGTTATTTTTTTTTATTTGTAAATCTTAGAGGGCAATCAAATCTTTAAGATTAAATAAATTTTGATCGACAAGTTTACGAGGGCAGATCAGATAATCTAATCAATTTTTAATTTCTGAGGACGCCCAATGTAAGTATTGGAATATTATAATTTCATCATGTATAGTAAATGTTCGTTAATCATCATTTTTTTACCTATAGTGGTTGACACACGGCTATAATATTTCTAAGGATTTTCGTGATTTCCAAGCGAGTATGGTTGAACGATTGAAGAATAATCCGACATTCTCATATGCGACTGATGTTGATGAAATTTTGTAAGTATCTTTTCATGCAAACTTGATCGATTTCTTCAATATTTTAACTTGTGTACATTATTGGAGGTGTCTTTCATCAATCATCTATGTAAAAGAGGACAAATAGAAGTATGTAAAATGTTCCGATCAAGTTTGGAAAACTGCGTTACCTAACCTCTAACCCCAGCATCTTTGCCAATAAGTCCTCAACTGAATATAGTACAATAAGACCCTCCTGAAACATTATAATAAATAATAAATAATTTATTTCTATCTGTTATTTAGCTTTTAAATAATCAAGAGGATTTGGATGTAAAATGGCATCAAAATTGGTCTAAACGGGATCCTTCGATGACCAAATAAGAAAGGAGCATGTTTGACTATGTGTTCAACTCGTGACAAGAAAATTTATAGGTTTTTAAATCCAAAGAATTCATATTATTTTTGTTGTGTTTGTATTATTATATTAATGATATATCTGCTCTGCAGTTTCTTAAATGTACCATCAGACAGCATTAAAAATGTTATGGACGAGGACATTTTTGTCCATAGATATTGTCATTTGATGTTTGAGAAAGTATTAGCATGAGTCATCATAAATTCATGTGGTAAATGAAATTTCCATTAGTACAAACTATTCAATATACATGAACACTTAATTTCTAAATTGATGAAATCAGGGCCAACGATGAATCTAATAGTTCGAAGGAATGACGAAAATATAATAATAATGACCACAAACGTGAAAAGAAACCGGATTTCTGGATTCTTTTTGACAAGGAAAATGAAATTACATTTGGAGAAGTAAAACCTTCAAGCGCTTCCAATAATATAGTAAATCAAGCATTAATCAAACTTGCAGAATTCATGAAGGGATCGTTGGATTCTCTTCGCAAGCAATTTAGATATTCTCCAACTTCTGAAACATTCGGGATTATTATTGGTGGTAGGTTATTATTATCATAATTTGGGTCAGGGACACTTTACCGACACCCACTTTACCGACAGGACACTTTACCGACACCCACTTTACCGACAAGACACTTTACCGA